AGAAATCAGGGCTGATGTGAAAAATCATTAATTTCTTTGATGCTTTTTTATACACTTAGAGACTTTCACCTTTGAGTTATACTGCCACTTACAAGAAGATTGGACACAGAAAAGAAAGATAATTCAGCCCAGGATAATACCGGTTTTTATATTGAGTACAAAAATCCTATTTACTTGTTTGTTCATTGGGGGACAATGGAATCTTTCACCTTTGAGATGCTCAAAAGTGGCTCAACTAAGTGGTGAGTAACAAAACATTAACAGGCCCAAGAAAAAAAAAAAAACAACAGATAACCGGGGGCTGCCCACAGCAGAAAGCCACCTAAAAAACCTTATGCTCAAAGCTCCTTGATGTCAAAAACACCAAGCAGCACTCATAGATCTACTTTGTGGGTACAACATGACAAGGAGTGAAGCTCAATCCTTGGGACCAAAAACTTGGATGATGTTCTGCCTGTGCCACATAGATGGTGGCATGAGAAGCCAGAGCACCCTTATGTGACATTACAAAGTGGAAATCAGTCTTCCTAAGGGAAGCAGTGGATGAGAGAGACTTTCTGTGCCTGAACCACATCCAGACATCGGAGGGAAATCTCTCATTTCTGGACAGAGGAATGGGAGAACAAACGTCCTGACTGAGGTGAAAGGCTGAGACTACCTTAGGCAAGAAGGAAGTCCTGGACCTCAACAACCAGAAATGGTTCTATACATGCTAAGGCTGCCATTTCATACATTCACCTTTTAGAGGCAATCGCTACAAGGATATCACCTTGTGGGTGAAAGTGGAGGACTGTCTCTAATGGGTTCTAATGGCAGTTTCTGAAGTTCAGAGAGAACTAGATTCAGATCCATGGATTCACAGGGCAATGATCAGAGGAAGCTACATGGGAAGCTCCCTGTGCAAAGGTTCTAATCAAAGAATGAGAGGCCAAAGGTCATTGAAACAAGAAAGAAAGGGTGGAAACTTGGCCCTTATAGTGCTAAGAGCCAAATGCTGTCTGAACCTTGGGACTGAAGCCCCAAAACTCACATCAAATGTAGTAAGTCAGATGAAAGACCTTGCAGAAGTAGCCTTCCTAGCCTATAGCATCAGAGGAATCTCTAAGCAAAATATCACGATGATCTGGTAGAGCCCACAGAGCATCCACTGTGTGTTTTACCAGGTCAGCATACCACATCCACCCGGCCCAGTCCAGAGCAATGAGAATCATAGGGGTGCACTCCATCTGGACTATACAAAGCAGACAAGCAAAAAAGCTTCAGGGGAAGAAAGCACAGATCAGGGTGTACTGGTCGCATGGAGCCACCGGAGCATCCATTCCTTCCACTATGGATCTCTGTACCTGGAGAAAAACTGTGAAGTTTATAGTTGAATCTGGAGACAAGGAGATCCACATCCAGCATCCTGCACTTGACATATAGGTCCTAGAACACCTCTGGGTGTAGGGTCCACTTCCCTGAGTCCAGATGTTACCGGGTGAGAAAGTTTGCCTGACAATTGTCTAAGCTAGCATCTAACTGGTTGACAAATTGGGAAAGCAAAGTTCTGCCCAGGCAAGAATCTGATCTGCCTCTCTTGCCACACCAATACATCTAGCTCCTGCCTGACAGTTGATGTATGCCACCACCGTGGCTTTGTCTGAATGAATCTGGATCAGATCTCCCAGCTGGACAGTCCAATGTCTCAAGGACAGCCAAATCATCTGAAATTTCAGGATGCTCATCAATAGACTTGACACCTCTGATAACAAAGACCTCTGCACCAACAGGACGCCCAGGACTTTTGCCTGTTTCATGTTCAGGTGGAACTAGGAAAGCAACTTGGGCAAAAATTATTTTGGTGAAGGACCAGGAAGGCTATCTGCCAACACCCTACAAGTAAATGCAAAAATGCAAACTTCCAATAAGAAGAGACAATGAAAAGTCTCAGGCTCAAAAAGGGAAATCTGTAAAACAGACAACACCAAACTAAACTAGTAATGACCGAGTCAAAACAGCCAAGCCAGTGACTGCAAAGCAGGATGGGAAATTGGCCCTGTGGCATCAAGTCTGGCCAATTTGTAAAAGGCCACTGCTCATCTGCCAGGAGATTGAAACTGACTGCACGTTGGCTGCGTGATCCCAAAGAGTGACAGACCAATGCTACAGAGCTAGCCAAATCACCCAAAGTTGACTGGCAACCTCTGTTCCTCTGACAGCCATGTTTCCTAAACTTGAGAGACTCTCTAGAACGCCACCCCAGGTCATCAGGGTGGCATCTGTTCTAAACATTCCAAGAGATAGAAAGGATCGGTTTCCGAGCTTCTGCAAAGAGATCCACCTTACCAAACCCAATCTGATCTTGAGAGACAGATCAATGGGCAATTATAGGGACTGCTGGTGCTTGTTCCACACTGACAGGATATTGAGTTGTTATGGCCTGGAGTGAGCATACGAGACTGCATCAAAAACCTACTTCTTAAAGTTCAGTACCGAAACTAACTGCTTGAGGACCTGCACTTTCTGCTGAACATTTGATGTCATGATCTGAGCCAATTGCTTTTGAAGGTGGGCATCCAGGTACCCCCATCATAGTGAAACCGTGGGTCCTCAACAAACCCAGAACCAGTATCAACACCTTGGTATACAACCCGGGTGTTGTCGAAAATTTGAATGGAAATGTCACAAACAAGTAGTGTTTGTTCTCTAATGGAAAATTTCAGAAATTGTTGGTAAGGCTGTAAGTTGGGATGTGCAGGTAGGCATTCTTGATACCCACTGATTCCAGGAAGTTCCCCTGATGAAATGAAGCAAACACCAACTGAGTATACTCCATTAGGAATTTTTGCACTCGTAGAAATTTGTTGACACACATCGGGGTCCAAAATGGGCAAGACGTCTCTCATTTCATGTTGGACCCATAAAGAGGTTGGAGCAGGAGCAGAGAAACCTTTTTCCCTCCAGCACAACCTTTCCAGTGCCACACACAAAACCACTCATCAGTGGCTCCAAAGAGACCCTTGTGCTCATATAGCACGAAGGGGGAAAGTATCGAAACTTCAGCTTGTGACCCCTGGAAACCAAGCTTTGAACCCAGTCATTTGCAATTTCTTGAGTCCATATGGCTGTGAAGGCTGATAAGCTCTCCACTAGGAATGCAAGTCGGGGTTGCCCCTTCACTGGGAAAAGGACTTTTCTCCAGGCCTCTAGGACTTGGAGGATGATTTCTGCTTGGAGCTCAAGGCCTGCCTCCTATAAAAAGAAAGCTTCTTGGAGTCTAAAGAAGCCCCAGCTTCTGGCTTGCCTTCTTTACCTTCCTCTTCAGGGGTAGAGCATGCTTTTACCCACTGTCTCCTTATGAATGAAGGCATCCAAGGACAGCTCAAATGTTCACCATCAAAGGCAGCCTGTAAAATTGCTTCTTTCGAAGACGTTCCACCAACAAGAACTTAAGTCACAGGACATATGAGGACCTTGTATTGATGGACACAGTGCCCAACCTGAAAAGCTGCCATATGGAATCCCCAAGACATTACCCGAGAAACTCAAAGCCCTTGGAAAATCCTCCAGGTACTGCCCAATGGCAACATTCCTAGGATCAGAGTCCCTGACACAAGGCACACGCTTCAGCACTTTGCAAATACCCACCATTGCCACCCCCGGCTGCAGGGCTGCTCCTACTATGAAAGCGAACCCTCAAAGAGGGCCTCAAACCTTTTTGTCAAAAGCGGCTTCAAAGACCAGACTGTTAGGGTCCTGTTCAAATAGAGGCTTCTCTGTATCACAACAGACTATTCACATGTCATTCAGCCTCCCAGGGAAACCAAGATGGCCCCTGCACATGAACAGATGTGGGCACATAAAGTCTTCGCACTGTGCACTCGCAGTATGGACCAGTCCCATCCATTGAGAACATCACTACAACAGTGTACTCCTCTCACACAAATGGCCCAGCACAACTGCCAGCAACAGCCACACACAACCCAAGTGTCTCAGAAAAAAATGGAAACAAGAGACTGCCACGCCAATTCCACAGAGCCTTAAGCCCAATCTTTGCTCATCACAGAAGGGCCTTCAGGGACACAAATCCCCCCCTCTTCCCCCAGGGGATCACTGCCCTGGACCTGGCTGAACACCCTGCCAGCATGTTCACCAGATGCAAGGTACCCCAGCAATCCCTGCCCTCAGGGTCCAGTGCAGATAGGCAACATTACAGGAGATCACCGTTCTTGCATGGTGGGGTCTGGGTACATCCCTCTGGGTCCCAGGGCCATAGAAAACTGATCCAGCCTAAACTTTTCCCTTCCCCAGCAGGGGTGTACAAAATAGGCAGTGAAAAGAAAGGAAGAATTTTCAGAGAGACTTCACAGACACATACTTTGTCCTTAGGTCCTAACCATCTAAGGACATTAGTACAAAACTTAAAGCGATCCTAAAGGTTATACGTTTTTTTTTTTTTCGTAAAATAAAAACATGTTATACTTACCTGGTGTGTGCAGTGGTTTTGCACAGAGCAACCCAGGTCCTCCTCTTCTTGGGTCCCCCATAGGCTCTCCTGGCTCCTTCTGTCTGCCAGGTGCCTCCGCAGCAAACAGCTTGCTATGGGGGCATTTGCTACTTCATGTGTTCATTCACACACGGAGCCGCGGCTTGGCTCCATCACCCCTCCCTCCTCATTGGCTGACTAGCTCCCGCTTGCTGTCTCAACCAATGAGGAGGCAGAGACCCGGGACAGCAGAGGATGTAGTGCACATTGCTGGATCGCGAGGGGGTGCAGGTAAGGGGTTGGGGGCACTGCTGCAAACAGAAGGCGTTTTTACCTTCATGCATGAAGGTAAAAAACCTTGAGCCTTTAGAACCGCTTTAGGATAAGCTGTGCTGTGAGGGTTGGTGGCTAGATGGGGAAGCCTGCCTTTTTCTTACCAGTGTCTATTCACCTGAAGGTGGCAGCATAACCCAGTGGTCAGGATCATGAACCTGCCCTGTGTCCTGTGATGTACAATTAGGAAACAAATACTGACCAGGAATCTCTAACTCGTTTCTGGAAAATTCTGGCTTAAAATTGTTCATCCATGGAGAATATTCTTTTAGGTTTCCTGGCTCTTTTGGCTGTTGTTCTTTAATTTTTGTCAAGATTGCACTAAACTTTTCATTGAATTCTTCAGCTTTGATAGCAACAAGCTGGGATCCATCTTTTCCACAAAATTTGTCTAGTTCCTTTCCATGTTTCTGCAAAGAGAAATGATAAATTGGTAATTGCGTGCACATGCAGTGTATATGATCTCCTCCTATAAAAAGTCTGGTTAGGCTTAGAAAGTTTAGAGTTTTGTATACAATATTACCATAGTTACATAAAAATTTGTGCAGTATCCTGTAGACCTGGATTAACATTTCTCCTCAACACAGCGAGGGTTTCAGAATAAAGCAGGCACGATTGCATGACACCTTATATAAAACAGCGGGTAAACACTACAAAAATTCCAGGCATGGATTCATATGTAAATAATACTTCTATTAAATTATTTATATCAAGAAATGTATCCATAGTATATTGTAATTCTTCATGCCAATGTTAATATAAGGGGTAATCTGCAATTTTCAGTCAACACACTTACATTCTAGTTTAGAGCACATTTAAAGCACAACCTACTGTTACAAAACAAACAGCCACCAAATGCTTCTACACAATTCCTCTTTAAGGGTTTTAGGTAATAAAAAAAAAATATACCCAAGCAGTGACAAAATACAAAGTCCATAAAATACTTACGTTTTTTAAAACATTGTTGCAAATGAATAACCAGCTGTTTTCTAAGAGACCCTGGTGGTAATATTTCCCTGACCGTGCTCCAGGACCTGTCCCCTAGGCAAAGCCATTATTGTCCCCTATTCCCTAGCAAACAATTACTGGCAATGGCTCCATGTACATGTAGCACAAATCACCCCACCTCTGCAAACCTCATTCTGAATGATCCAAAGAATTGGTCCTTTGTGTTGCACAAATTTGAATGAATCTCCTTATACAATTCCTTAATTTTATTTTTGCCTGGTTTTTCTTTAGACAGCTCAATGAAAACTTCATCCTTCCAATCCTTAATGTAAATATAACCAGTTAGTTACTCATGCTGCATGCCCATACCATTGTGTGTAGATACAATAAAAGGAAAGGATAAAAAGGGAGAACTGTTTAAAGACCTAAAGTAGAAAAGTGTTATCTGCAGTTTATTAAAATCACCAATACCCAAATGACAAAAATAAGAGTAATGGAATTCCTACAATGAAAATAACTGATACAAGATGAATATCTAATACAGTAGGTCATGGATTCCCAATGTCTTACTAAACAAAAATTATTAAAAAAATGTGCTATTTTATTGAGAGCAAATTAGAAATAGAATAAAAAAATACATATGTATAAAATATTATTGCAATATTAAAATTCATTTCAAATCACAAGATTAAAATTAATTCCAAAATGCCTTGACAGTGTACCACATAAATAGGTTTGATAATATATGGGAGCAAAATGTTATCCAGCTGCTTTAAAGTTCCCCTAAGTCATTGGGTCCAAACATGCTAGTAGTGGACTATATTCAGTTTTAAAGGAGAATATTGGGGCAGAATTATACTATGATGTGGTGCTGTGGCAGTGGCAATGGTATTATTAGAATGTTGTTGAAATTCTCAAGGGATGATACTGGAAATGCATAACTTTACCTGTGATTACACCAGAATGAAAGATGCAGTGTTAGGTTTCCCACATCCCAAGTTAAACAGGGCTCAATGCACTCATAGCTGTAGTCATTATATCATTTAAAGCTACAGTGATCTCCCTTACCCCTCTGTAACTTGGAGAGAACGCCATCTAAAAAAGGCAAACTGTAAGCTTTCCTATAAACAAGTCAAGCAGTTTTATACGCCCAAAATGTACCTGTAATATCAAAGCAGGATTAGACAGTTGCTCCAGGGCTTTGATGAATTCTTCAGCTAATCCATTTTTATCCAGCTTGTTTTGAATTCTTAAAAATAAAAAGTCCAAGCAGTAGGGATTACATACCAGTAAGGAATTACTATTGCAAAACCATTGCATTTTGTGGTGTAAAAATTAATGTCAGACCCCACAGGCTCTTCCTAGCTAGATACCCGGAGGACCTCACAACTTTTTCTCTGCACTCTAATCTCTTTTTGAGAATTTCAGAAACCACCGACACCTCTTGAAAAGCTTTGTCCTGACCAACACCTTATCAGCCACACTCTATCCATCATTTACTCTTTTATTTCTGCATCCCTAGAGGACTAGCAACCGCTCTAACTAATTGGGAGCAAGATTTAAACCTGTCTTGCTCCCTGCACCAACTGCATAATACATTTAGCCCTAGAGACTTCTATCTGCTCTTACCACCAGTAGACTAATTTTAAAATTTTCTTCTAGGTAGTACAGAACTCCTACAATACTTCTAAAACACTTCCCAGACTGTACTGACATTTTCTGGAGATGTCATGGCGATAATGGTTTGCTCCTACACATTTTTTGATTATCCTGTCTGTTGAGACCCTTCTGGAACAAAGTCAGGGAGATCCCTCAAAAATGTACAGATTTCACCATTCCTGACTCTCCAGCATTTTTCTATTGCACCACTCCTCAATCCCTACTAAAACGTACAAGAGAACCATACTGCGTCACTTGCTGAATGCAGCTAAAACCTGTATCCCCTAGAAATGGAAAGACCACAACACCCCTCCAATCTTCATGTAGCTCGTGAAGAAGGAGAGGATACCAACCATATGGAAAGATCTAATCCTCTCCTCACAAAATAAGCAGGACATTTATAGGAAAACCTGGTTCTACTCGATAGCCTTTAAGTTCTAGAAGGAAGGTAAGACTCTACTTGCCAGAGTATTGATGACTCATCTCAGATTCTCCATACTACCTGGGTCATTCCCCCCCACTCCCCCCTTTGTTTTTCCTTATGTTCAACCCGTGGCCCTCCCTCTCTCATCCCATCCTTTTTTTTCCCTCTCTCCTTCTCTTTTCCCTCCCCCAAACACACGCATATAATTTCCTACACCCTTATTTTCCCAGTAGGAATTCTTGGTTCCTTTTTATGTACTGTAGATTCTCAGTTATCCTTAAGTCTCCCCTTTGCCTTATGGTCACCCCTCATGCCCATCTTTGATAAGCATGACAAAATTTGGTTGTATGGTGTTCCACAACCAAAGCATAGGTGATTTTTTTTTGTTGTTGTTGCGTTCAATGCATACGCATTCTGTGACTGTTTTCTCTTCTTTATCCAGTAAATACCTGCGGTATTTGTCATATTGAGTTAATAATCCTTGTAATGCCTGTGTATATTTTTTGAATGTCCTGTACAACTAAAAACCTTTACAAAGAATTAAAAAATAATGTGAACTAGAAATCCCATTTCTTCCTATGTGGCTGGTTTGGCTTACTCACATCTATGCATTTTAGTTTAGTGTGAACGACAAAGGGAAAAAACGCCAATTCACAGCTACATGTCTGTTACCACGAGTGCTGCGTGCACATAAAAAATTATTCCAGCCTCAAAATAAACATGCACTGACATAAATATGGAGGCTGCCCTTGCTGACCTCCCCAAAAAAATCAGTTGCCGGGCTGTTTCTTGACCCAGAAAAAGCATGCAACGGCCATGTCCTGCACTGCAAACCCCAACCTATTGGTCCTTGCACATTCACTTCAAGGACAGCACCCATTCTAATGAAAGATTCATTAACTACAAGATGCAAGATTTTAAAGAGCAGACCTCACAGCAAAGGTGTAAGAACATTCAGGAGGGGTAAGTATAAGCTAGTACAGTATTGTATGCCCACAGCATGTTGGTCTTACCCTTTAAAGTAGTATTAAACCATCAGCATTTCTAGCCTAGCACAATAAAATAAACATTCCTCAAACTATTTTTTTAAATTTTTACTTCAGTGCTTGCAGTTTACAACTTTCAACACCGCTGGCTCCAGCTCTCTCAGTGCTGCTTCCCTAAAGTTTCAGTCTTTACAGGAAATAGTTAACAGTGGACAGTACAGTCCATAGTCAGTCTGTTAGTTTGGAGAAGGGAGAGTTGAGGAGGAGGCAGGAGCAAGGTTTCTACTGATGCACACAGTGTAGTGAGACATGTAGTTCCTGCATGCAAGAGTGGGTCAATAGGATGCTACAAGAGAAAGGACCCACCCTGAAAAAGAAACTTGGGGCAGCACTCATGGCACTGACCTAAACTGGAACATAGGCAAGGTTTTAAAGATAAAGGAGCTGCATACTCAGTAAGTGATTAGATCAACTGCTGAAGGTGCTTTATATCAATGAAATGATAGTTTTAATGTTTGAATATTTGTTATTGAAGACAAGGACCACAAACCACTTCATAGCAACTACATAGCATTTGATCTGTGAGCACATCTATTGAAAATCACAAACAAAAGATCTGTGTACCTTTCCACAAACTCTTTATTTCTGTGTCCGTCCACTGTGTCCTCAAAGTTATAGTTCTCCCCACTGATCATTAAAGAGTACACAAGCGCCTGGGGGTAATGATCAGCAATCTCTTCTATTATAAACTGCACTGCAATGGCTTCCTTCTTGTCAAGCATTGCCATCATCTGACTGATCCAGGCAATAAATTGCCAGCATGGGACTGAACTAACCTGGAATGAGACAAAAGTAAAGCTAATTTCCACTTAAAAAGACACAGCAATAGTAGTATGACAAGTCTTATCAAACATCAAACAGAATATTTGCAAAAAAGACCTGGAATACACAGCATACAAACATTAAGGTGGTTTCAGTGTACAGTGGATAAAAAAAAACATTTTACTTCATCACTGAAGCACACAAATCTGTTCATATAACCACTGTTTGAAGCACAGAAGAACCTTAAACAAAAAGTAAATGCATGTGCCATTTCCATCATAAATCAACAAAGTTTATCCTCACTTTAGTACAGTGGATAGAGCCATGCAAATCATGGATTATACTGTACCATCAGCAGATGTATGCATATTAAATTGCTTTTGCTTCATTAATTTTGTGCAGACACAACCTGGAAAGGGGGAGAGGGTCGCCTTCAGCTAAGCCAACTTACGCATTGCTATGTATACAGTATAACTCGAAATGGGAGCCCTGATAATATACCATTAGGGGGGAACACACTTTACACAGGTAACAGGACAGTGTATTTGCGAATGTATGCAAGGCCTTCACTGAAGTCAGAGGTTTTGGATGTATAGTACATAAGTACATTTGGCCCTAAAAATGATTGTGTAATTGGCACACACTCTAAAGTAGAGAATAAGAGGAATGTTGACTTACCTGTAAACTCCATAGGGCGTACAGTACAGGACACAGGCAACTTATTCATACAACATGGTTACAGGTTCGTACCTTGAGATGCTTGGATTGGACACCAGGGGACCTTCCTTAGAAAGCCTGCCCCATCCATGAGTCCTCCGTTTTGTAGCATGCAGCATAGAGTAATAAGGAGAGTTTGGGGAGGGCGTGTCCCGTTCTGTACACCAAGATATGAAATTTACAGATAAATAAAAATTCCTCCTATCTTTATCATATAGTAAATGGCAAACACAACATAGTCAAATACTATGAGGCACCAAACAAGTAAAGAATGCATAGGGTAGGCAACAACTAGGCAAATGGAACTGTACCAAAAGGCTAAAACAACAAAAGGGGTCAGAGACCCAAATTCAGAAAATTGCTTCAAGAACTTTGCAGGCAAAAGCTGCATCTACAGGGGACTGGACATCCATCTGTAAAACTTTGAGAAAGTATGAACAGAAGTACAGGTGGTGACCTTTCACAGTTAAGCAGCAGAGGCTTGGTGCCAAAAGGCCTAGAATACTCCAACAGATCTTGTGGATTGGGCTACACAACAGTACAGGAGGAGATTTTTGTTTAAGAGCATAAATTCTTGCAATCAAGTTCCTGATCCAATGTGCAATGGTTGATTTAGAAGGAGGGTGCACTTTGAGAGGTACAGAGGAAAGAACAAACAGAAAATGTGTTTGTCCAATGGAAACAGTCGCTTTCAGGTACTATACACTCCAATGGCTCAGACTACATCCAGCCAATGTACAGACAATTCCTTTTTTGCTTAGGAGTAGGGCACAAGGGTGGCAGAAACCTCTTTTGGAATAAAGGACAATCTTGGGCATAATACAATCTTACTGTCAGTGGTGCATTTAATTTTTGTGCTGCCCTAGGCAACACAAAAGTCGTCTGCCTCCCCCCCCCCCCCCCCCCCAGACAGCTGCCCCTGTGTCACTACTGCCAGGGGGCGACGTCACCCCCCTCAAAAATGCCGCTCTAGGAAAGCACCTTGTTTGCCTCATGGAAAATATGCCACTGCTCACTGTTGTGGAGTATGAGGAAAGGCTCTTTTACAAGGGCCACTAGTTCAGAGACATATGAGAGATATAATGTCTGCCAAAAAGACCACTTTACTGGCAAGGATCTCTAAATGAACATTCCTAATGGGGTCAAAGGATGGTTTCTGCAAGGTTGGGAGTATCAAATGTAAGGTCCTAGGGAAGCACAAGGTGCTAAAAGAAAACCTAATACTGTATAAGAAACACCTTGAATAAAGGATTTTTATAAGAGAGCGAAGTCAAAGGCGTTTGGAAAAAAATGGATAAGGCCAACACCTACCCTGCTACAAGCTAAATTCTTGTCAAGACCTGTTTTCAGGAATGCCAGAATGGGAGAGTAATCTCTTGGAGTCAATTAACTGCACTTGCACCAAGCAAAGTAAGATTTCCTTTACAATAATAAATCTTTCTGAAAGTGGCCTTTCTTGCAAAGTAGGAACCACAGACTAAAAAAATCCAGCTATACTTTAGGACTTTTCAATAGCCATACTGGTAAAGCCACAGGCTATAAAGCAGGGTGGAATAGAGGGCCTTGAGATAGGAGATCAAGCCTGTTGGGATCGTCTGAGTAGGTCTGTGTACCAGGTTCTTCTAGGCCAGTTTTGAGCTGGTAGAATCACTGGTATATTTTGTTTAGTAGGCAAGGCAGCGGAAGAAAGGTAAAAATTGATCTGGGACCAGGGGATAACTAGAGCATCCAGGCCAGAGATAGAGCATCTCTGTTTCTGACAACAAACAGAGCAAACTTGTTATTCCTGGAGGCTAGTGAAAGGATTAAATGGAATATAACTGAATCCATTTTGTATACACTAATACAAGATGCTAGTTTTAATATATATATATGAGATATGTGCACACTAACAAAACTGTCTATCTCAGCTTCATGTAGAAATGAGTGTTTTTGCAAACCCTTACAAAAAAGCAGATAAGGTTTACTCTCACTTCTGAAAAGTTTTAACCATAACTTGGGTGTTAGGTCAGATTAGAGCCATGGTCTGGGCGTTGGGTCAGATTACAGCCATGGCCTGGGCGATAGAGCAGATATGGTATGATAGATAAAGCAGAAGAGTGAAAATGCAAACCTCATACAAATAATTGTTGAGTTAAGGTAAAACAATGTACATGTATCTGATTGGATGGTCAGAGGGTGTGTTTGCCTAAAGACTACAGTATAATAACCCTGATGTTATGCCAATAAAACTGAAGTGTTTGCAATCGCAACTGAGGTGATTTGAGTGCATTCACTTTCCGAGATCTCGTAGCTGTGTCCAGGTGTGACCGTTGGTATCTTGAGGGGGCCCCCAAGGAAAAGGAAAAAGACCACCTACCTACTTTCAGCTAGGATGTCTACATGCAGAATAATCATCTTTGGCATATCAGATAGAACACATCTGGATAAGCAGACCATTCCCCTTGGTCCAATCGGTGGTGGCTGAGATAATCCACATGCCAGCCGTCCACTCCTGTGATGTGGACTGTAGAAAGCGCTGGACGATGAGTTTTTGTCCATGAGAGAATCTGGTTTTCTTCCTTCAAAGCACCCAGGCTTCTTGTGCCCCCTTGATGATTGAAATATGTCACTGTGGCAGCATTGTCTGACTGCACCCGAATTAGGTGTTCCTTTAGGAAGGGAGGGGGCCCAGTGCTGGAGGTACACCCTGACTGCTTTGAGCTCCAAAATGTTGATTGGGAGTTTGGTTTCTTCTCTTGGCCATATCCCCTGAACTGTCAAGGACTGGAACACTCCTCCCCAGCCTGAGAGTTGCATCTGTTGTAAAAACTTACCAATTTTAAGCAAAGAAAAGATTTTCCCACTGTTAATGCTGAAGTAGGGATGCACCAGGGCAAGGACGTTCTTGTTTGGCTGGATAAGTCCAGTATATGGGTAAGTCCAGGGGAAAAACCTGCTTCTTCTATGTTAACAAAATGTTCTGTTGGGGAATTTTGAATAGAACTGGGCGAAAGGAACTCCCTCAAAAGGAGGCTTCCATTAACCTCAGAACACTTATAGTGAACATCACTGTGGGATTCCTTTTGGATCTCAGTCGAGCTATTAGTGAAATTATTTTTTGAAGAAAAACTTGGTATGTATCCAGAATCAGACTCATGTATTCTAGGCGCAGGGAAGGGTGGAGAGCATATTTGTTGAAGTTAATCCCCCAACCAAAGGCGTGAAGCAGCTGAAATGTCTTTTGGACATTTGCTGAAAGTTGCAAGGGAAATGAAACCTTCAGAAGAAGATCCTTTAGATAGCCTGTGAACTGGATGCCCTGAGTTCTGAGAAGGGCAAACAAGGGTGTTAAAACTTTTGTGAACACTCTGGGAACAGAGGATAGGCTGATAGGCATTGCACCAAACCTGGGAGTGTTCATCTGCCACTTAAAAGTGTAAAAAATGCTGATGAAGTTGGTAAATGGAAACATGCAGATGTTGCCAAAGCATATGTGAGAGGCGCCTTTTACATGTAGCTTCTGCTGCAAAAGTCTTTAGCCATAAGATTCTGTGCATATAAATGGAGATTAAAGCTATTCTGGATATTTGTCTCCTGATGTTTTCCAGAGAACCTACACAGAAAAGAAGAGCAGAAGGCAGTTGTTGTAATTGCTTTGGAAAAACATAATCCTGAAATACAGGGTCATGCTGGTTATGAATTGTCGTAGTCCAGTTAGCTTCAGTTTGACATAAAAGACAGAAATAACAGCAAGAGCTGGTTTGCAGGGCTGGGCCTGCCAGGTTAAAGAGAGTGTTTCAGAGCATTTCAAATTTTCTGTCTGCAGAATCTTTAAAAGACAGAACATTTTAAATAGGTATAGTGAGATGTTTGTTTAGGACAAAGACAGCAGAGTCGACCACAGGAATAGCCCATTTTTGTGCAAACTCTTTTTTCTGGAGGGAGTTTAGCAAAGATATTCGTGGGTGTAAAAATCCTTTCAGAAGTGATCCAATCATTATAAACTGCACATTCCATCTCTTCATGGACAGGAATGTAATATTTTACAAATTTTTGTAGGTCTCTTTGTACCCAAAGGAGCATGGCGAGATGGAGGAGAGACAATATGTACCATGCCAAGGCTATGAGCTTTTCAACAATAACAAGGATGTTGTGTGAAGCTCCCTCTTCAATATAGTGACAATGTCGGGGGTGGAAAGAAATCTGCTGCAGTTTCCTCCAACACTGCCTCCACATATTCTTCATTTCTCTCTGATTTAATGTCTTATAGGACTGGCATATCAGGATCCAACTACAGTTGAGAAAATGGAGTAGA